TATTATGCCTAACTCATACACGTACAATAATCATGAAGATAGATAGAACTCTTCAGTTTCTTCTTTTACCAACTTTCTACTGCTTGGACACCGTCTTTGACAGATTCCTTTGGTACACCTGCAGGGTATTACAAATTGAAACCAATCCCAATCACTCTTTGCCACAGAGACGAACTTAAAAGAGATCGATTACAAACGTATTGATGACATACATCACCTGGTGCAAGGATATGAATAACGATTATGCAAACCCAAATCCAAGAAAAAGGTCAACCAAATCCTTGTTCTATCATTCTTGAAGCAATATTTTCTCACTTGCTGTATGATTATAATCTTTTATGCTGTGGAATGAATGCCTATTTATTGCCATTGTTCTACAATGCCTTAAGCTCACTTTGTAGGCTAGACACCGTTTTTGTCAGGTTGCACAAATTTTTCTGTGGGCATTGAGATTGAGCTTTGCATTTGGAATGGAAAGCCCAAGTAGTATAGAAGGTTTCGATCCCACTTATAGCAACTTTGGGCTCGAGATGCCGAATGAGATTGACTCTTGAAATTTTAGTTAGAGAATGATCATTTAACAAAAATTTATAAACCTTTTGAGTTGACAAATCTAGAAAAACTTGAAGGCAATCATAATCTTATAGAGGTATTGTCTGATATCTCACATTGATCGGGGAGGAGAACGAAACATCTTTTATAAAGTTGTGGAAACCTTTATCTAGCAGACGTGTTTTAAAGCCTTAAGGAGAAGCTCGAAAGGGAAAGCCCAAAGAAGACAATATCTGTTACCTGTGGGCTTGAGCCGTTACATATTGCTAATTAGATTAATTAGACTTTTCCTGTGATTCATTATCATAATGGTTGGAAATTGCTGATAGAATCTTATATCAACTAAACAAGTGAAATGTGCCTCTACGTTAGGTTAGTTGAGCATGACGACCCTCCGTTCATAACACCAACACAATTGCACGAACACGTTTTTAGCATTATAGAGCTTTATAGCACATTTTGTCTTTAGTTCGCTCAAAATTTCCTTTTGGTTATCCAAGTTACCAAAATAGTTGGAGAATCTGTGCACTGATGTAAAAAAGTTGTTATCCATTTCACTTCCTTAGCAAGTAGGTGAGTCACGTTCCATTGGGAGAGAAGATGTGATGAAAACTTTACACATTTATATTTATTGAAATCTTTTGCTTTTGGTTGCAAAACTTTATGGTAGTTTGATGAAAGTCACTAGCATATGGTCTTTTCCAAAAGTTATTCAGCCAATAACATTATCTAGTCGCCGACTAGATTAAAAGCAACTCATATTTAAATTTACTCCTAAAATTTAGCACTAAAGTGGAGGAGTAATAATGAGAGGATAAGCAAAAGAAAGACAGAAAAGAAAGATTAGCTGCAGATGTAATGCCGACATTAAACAAAGGGTGTGATGAGGTTGTGTTGTTATAATTAAGGCTGCAATGGAAGTTGTGTTTTGGTGTCCGAGTCAGGGCTTTGGTTTTATATTTTGAAGTGTCAAGTTGGTAACTTTCCGAGCTGGAATTGAGTGCAATTGTTACGTCTTTCCATTTCCAAACAATTTGTGAACCCGAAAGCAAACTCAGTGCCCTTTATTTATTTATTTGTTTTGTGCTTATACCAAAAGCAACTGCACATCAGTGGGTTCTATCAATGAATGCCATTTCCATCGCATTTCTCCACCATTTTCACTTTTCTTTTGGTTTCTTTTTTTGATTGGCTTGTGAATTTTATGATCAATTGGGGACGTTATTAGTGCTTTGCCAAAAGAATATGTTTCTTTTTGTTTCTTTTAATATCAAAGGGATTGTTATGTGTTCTATCTTTAGAAAACAATTAGAAGATACTCAGAATTTTAGTGAAGCAATAATTGATGGAAGAAAGAAAGGTTATATTTTTATATCCACCAATCCTATGAATTATACATGTGTTTGAATTCAAGTCTTACTTTTCTTTTAAGCCTCTCAAAATTCATGGGTTTTATACATAAATATCAGAAAATATTTTTGCCGTCAGTCTCATGATTTCAAGATAGGTTCCCACGTCCTTATAAGCGAGGTTTTGTTTCTCTCTCCAATCAATATGGTGCACCGTCTATGTCTAGCTCTGACATCATTTTAATTGGAGAGGTGAATGAACCATCCCTTGTAATAGTGTGTAAATCTCTTCCTAACAGATGTATTTAAAAATCGTGAGATTGACGGTAATACATAACAAAACCTAGTCATTTGGTGAAGGATTACAAAACTTGAACCACTGAAAGGAGGTTGAAGACATAAGAAGTTGATCCAAAACCTAAAAAGAAAGAAAGATAAAAGCTAATAAAGTTAGGGAAGGGCATGTAATGAGGTGGGTCCATGGAAAAATATAAAGGGAACAGAAAAGTGAGGCAAAGTTTTGAGTTTGATAAAATGAGATGAGAGGATGATGTGCAAATGAGATAATATATATCCTTATCCTTAGATTTGGTGGTGGGAATTAAGGATATTAGATGACAAATTATAATATGGGTAAAAAGGTAGGGAGGGTGTGTGGGCTTGCAATCCATTTAAGACCTGGAGAATGAGACAATGTCCTATTCCAAAAGGGCACGTGCCCTACGCTTTATCCTCTCTTCTTCCTCTTCTTCTGCTTCTGCTACTGCTTCTTCTCCTGCTTCCTCTTCTTCTTCCTCATCATCATCTTCATGGCCCCATAGAATCAAACGCCCATCATGCCAAATCATTGGTAGGCCCCTTCTCTCTCTTTCACTTTCCCTTTCTCTCTCTCTTTCACACACCTTCTTCCTCCCTCTTTCCAGTTTTTCAATATTTATCTCTTTTTGCCATTCTTTATATTTTAGAATTTAGAGGTTACAATTAGTCTACATTCTTTATATATTTTTATTCAATTTATAAGTTTTTAAAATTAAAATTCCTTTTGGGGAATGTTCAAAAATCAAATCAATTTTCTTTTCTTCTTCTAATTTCTTTTTCAATCAGCAATCATAATTTAGCGGTGTAAAGTGATGGCTTTCATTATTATTGTTATCACCTTAATAATAATTATTATTATAATTATTGCTTTTGTCCACAAATGTTGGCACCTGTATACTTGCTTTTTGTCATTCTCATTGCCAAAAAAGAAAAAAGAAAAAAGAAATTGTATGTTATTACATAATCAGCCTATTTCTATTCCTTTTGCTCTGTTCCTTTTTATATAATTAATTGTGACAACTGTACAATGGATGAGTACGTGTGTATTATGACATCTAACTTACTCTAAAATAATCCTAATGGCATCGGATTACTTTTTAATTATAAAAACCCAACCCAAAAATAAATACTCAAATGTGTATGATTAAATTCATTTGGGTAAAACCATCTCTAATCCCATTCTTAGAGTAGCGATACTTTCGGTTAAATTTGGATAAAGTAACATACTTGACCTTCACGTGACAACGATAAAATTTATTTGAGGAAGAAGAACAAAGTCTACGAAACAAGAGAAATTTGCATATTAAGCTCTAGTGCTTGAGTTACTTGGGAGGAATTTAGTTTGAATGACTTGAGAATTAGCTATGATCTTTATCTTCTCGGGAAGAAGAGTATTTATATATACCTTTCTAAGGTTAGGATAAAATGAGGACCAAATTTGAGCTGGACTAGGATAATACGAACCAAGGGATGCTAAGTGTCAGCCTCATATGAGGTCGACCAAAGAACTTGAGCATTCTACTCAAGTTTATCTTTCTTTTAATTGCTGGTCTAACTTCCTTCATGTTTAGTATGGCAGTCCTATTCGGTCTTTGAATTTTTTTCTAAATGTCAAACAAATACTTTGAGATGATCACCTCTATGACCACGTGGCTCCTAAACAGCAAGAGGTATTTTGGAAACTTTTGAGACTTTAGGGATACCATTAAAACAAAATTTTAACGTCTCCGTCCTAATGTTTTTAAAAGAATAAATAAAGGGTAATGTTGAAACAAAACACATGATTTAGAAGTGTTTTGTATAATTTGTTGTTGAATATGTTTTATGGGCGTCATGTTTTTATGGGCGACCTAAGTTTCTGATAAGTCATATCATCATCATTATTGGTAGCCGACAAAGCATTGCTGAAAGTTGCCTATTCTTCATGCATTATAAACACTAATACTCCCCAATGGGATGGCCCCCCAACCCAAAATTTCTGTCGAAGCAAACTTCCACATTCTTTCATCAATTATTCATCTTTTGAATCAAAGCTCTGATGTGCTTCGTGTCATAATCTCATCTCTCTGTTTCTACTTTTCTTTCTTTTCTGTCCTTTTCTTTTCCATTTTCCCACCAAAATCAAACATCAAACCAAGCAACACATAAGAAAATAGGTGCAATAGTGTTTTGATTTGGGCATCAAAGCAAAGGGGAATGGTTTGCACGACCATATGGGGTTGGAAGAGTATGGAGTGGGAGACAATTCATGTGGTCATTTATCGTTGGGGGGAGAGGGAAGAGAGTTTAATTAAATCAATGCTTGAATGATTGATAAAAGTAACAATAAAGTAGAAGGTGAATTATAAATGAAAAGAATAATGAAGGAATGCATGAATGAATGGATGCTAATATTGGGTCATAAGTGAAAGAAGAGGAAAAGTTGTGGCAAATAATTGAACCCATTTTAAAGAGAAAGTGAATAAGAAGACGAGGAAACATTTATGAAGCAACACTCAAAAGTGGTAGTAATTGTTAAATATAATGTGTTGCACAAACAATAAAAGAAATAAAGAAAGAAAGAAAGAAAGAAAGAATGATCCTTTCTTGATGTGTTCCCCACTGCCATGTGAACTCAGTGATTCTAGCAGGAAAGGGAAAGTTGTGGGGATTTTCTTTTCTTTGCTTTCCTTTTCTTTTCTTTGCTTTTCTTTTCTTTTCTTTGCCTCAATAATGTGAAGATAATAACTAAGTGGGGCTTCAAAGGTCAACCTATGTATAGAGATAGAACGGACTTTTAATTTCATAACTCTTTATTTTTTTTTCTTTTACTTTGAGATTCTTTTGTCTTCTGAATTCTTTAATTTCTTCTGGATTAATAATCATTCCCACCCACCCACACAAACACAAACACAAATACAAACACAAACACAAACACAAACACAAACACACCCATCTCTCTCCTTTTTCCTCTTCTTAAACCCTTCATTTTGGTTTGTTGTTCTTCACAACTTCCATCTTTTTCCACACAAATCCCTCAACTCAACTCAACTCCAGATGGGTTTGGATGATGTTTCTCAAACAAGCTTGGTTTTGGGGTTGGGGATCTCAGAAGCTGCTTCTCCAATTATTAACAACTTGAAGAACAACAAGAAGAAGAACAACAACAAGAATCCTACTTCACTTGAGTTTGAGCCTTGTGCTTTGACTTTGGGATTTTCAGGCGATGTTGATCCTCCTCCTCATCATCCTCATCATCATCATTTGTATCGCCAAGCTTCCCCTCATAGCAGCGCTGTTTGTTCTTCCTTCTCCGGGGGCGGTGGTGGTGGGATTAAAAGGGAGAGAGACCTCAGCAGTGAAGAAGTTGAATTGGAGAGAGTTTGTTGTAGAGTTAGTGATGAAGATGAAGATGGTTGTAATACTAGGAAGAAGCTTAGGCTTTCTAAACAACAATCCGCGCTATTGGAAGAGAGTTTCAAACAAAATAGCACTCTCAACCCCGTAAGTTTCTCTATATACATACCACTACTAAATCAATTATATATATCCTTTATTCATATTCTCTCATTCTTTTCATCAGAAACAAAAGCAAACCTTAGCCAGACACCTAAACCTACGCCCAAGACAAGTGGAAGTATGGTTTCAAAATAGGAGAGCTCGGTGAGTGAGTTCATCCCAATTTCAATCCATTTTAATATTCTACTACTTCTCTACATCATCCATTACATCTCTCAACCTTTCTTTCTTTTCTCTTCTGTTTTTCAGAACAAAAATGAAACAAACAGAAGTAGACTGTGAGTTCTTGAAGAAATGTTGTGAGACGTTGACAAACGAAAATAGAAGACTACAGAAGGAGCTTCAAGAATTGAAAGCGCTAAAGCTCGCACACCCGCTGTACATGCACATGCCAGCAGCAACGTTAACCATGTGCCCATCCTGCGAAAGGGTGGGTGGCGTTGGCGTTGGCGTTGGCGATGGCGCTTCCAAACCCAAATTTTCAATGGCTCCCAAGCCCCACTTTTACAACCCTTTCTCCAATCCTTCAGCCGCATGTTAGAAAATTAATGTACACCATTTACAAGCTACACAAAATAACACTATACTCATATATTTTTCTCCTTCTTCTTCAAAACGCCATAGCTAGCTTAGAAATTGGAGAAATTTAGTGTAACTATTAGCTACCCTTGTACAAGCTTACCCTTAAGATCAAATTATCATCAGTTGTAAAGATTTTAAACTCTATCTAGAAATTAATCAAGGATTGGTGGGTATATAATGTAATTTTTTTTTATCGATTTTTAGAATGATAATTGATGTTTTATTTACAGAATTATGTATGATCGACCGACCATCCGACCGACGATCCAATGACGCAAGATGGATGGTGTGTTGGATTGGGAAAAATTATTGGGTGGTGTTGGTGTAAGGGGCTATCTATCTATCTCATTGGCTGCCTACGTGTTACGCAAGGGATGACATTGATATGACTTTTGCTATTTTATTAGTGCGTTTTGGCTTCATTGGTCAATATGATACAATGATAATAATAATACATTTCTTTTTTCTTTTTTTCTTGTTTTATATCATGGAATCTACTTTCTTTTTCTCATTTTCTTCCTTTTTGTTTCTACACAAACATCTTTATTTAAATACTTTTATATGAATTCAATTATAGGTTTCTGATATTTGAATAATATGGAAATCATGATAATAATAACAATAATAATAATAATAATAATAATAATAATAATAATAAGAATAATAAAGGATAGGAAAGGGATGGATGGAATAATTTTTAAAATAGATAGGTTGAGAAGGTCACAACCACGTGAGATGCCAAAGCTTTAAGCCAACAGGTAGGTCACACCCCACGTGATGCTTACCAAAGTCTAAATCCTTGGATTTTTTTTTTTTTATTTTTTTTTTTTATAATAATATGAATTAGAATTTGGTAAATGAGACCCCCCCTCCCTTGTGCTCTGGATATCCACAAGGGAAGATTTGATGTGTATTATTATTCCTTCCCCACTTTAGCAATAATGGAACACACCCTTCTATTCAAACCCACGGCCCTCCTTAACCCTTACCCCACCTACGCTACAAACCCCTACAATATTTTTACTTTCCTTTTTAATTCTTCCCTAATTAACTTCGAGGGCACGGTCTCTTTGATTCGATCGTAAAGCAACACGGGTTCACTAGTGCATAATGATTATGAGGTCATGAAGCAACCAACAATGGAATGTCATAGATTATGTTCAATCATCTCTGTAAAGGAATTGGTAAAGCTATAGAAATCCATAATCATGTTTGAATCTAGTTTGATTTAAGAATTTATTCTGGTAGGGCACTAAAAGTTACTGGTATTTGCATACGTTAGAGGCACGCTATCATGATTAGAGTGGACAATTTCAGAACCTTCTCCTTTATTTCATTTTAATATGTGTACACAGAGCTCAACAAAGTCTACGAATCATTCATGGCTATGTGTGTGTGGACCAATAAAAATTAAAACTTTCCGGGAAAAGTTGGCACTTTCCTGGAAACTCCCACAGGCCCCTTTTCAATTCTCTCGCCGCCGCCATCGTCATCACCATCATCATTTGGATTACAGACAGACAACTCCCCAATACTTTTCTTATTTTCTTTGGTGGGTAAAGATGATCAAATAGAGTGCGACTTGAAAGCCTTGTCATTTGGCTTATCTTTTTTTTTTTTTTTTTTTTTTTTTTTTTTGTAATAACTAAACCGGAGAAAAGTCATCCATTAGCTTCCCTTTCCTCATCAATCTGACGAATTTCAACTACACAAACCAACCAAATCATTATGTTCTTTGTTCTTTCTTCTTTATTTACTCACCACTTTTTCTTACTTTAATAATTATTAAATTATGGACGTTTTATTCTATATCTTCTTCTGGGTTTCTCTACGTATGTCTGGAAATATTTTGTTATTTTTAGAGGAAAGTTCAGGACACTTGTCTCGTATAAGCTACCTTTGTCGGCCTGTCAAGTTGCACACGTGGTTTTGGTTTTTCGTCACTAATCATATTTCTAATAATAGTTGTATTTTTATTAATAATTCTTTTATAGGGTTGAGTTTTAACTTGTATTCGGTAGGAGGGGATGGGCTTCTTCAAAGTTGAGTTGACTTCTAATAAATGGGGCTCTTAAACTTCCTTCAGTGGAATGACTTCTTCTAAAGTCAAGATTCACACAATCTTGTGCATTACATGTTGTCTGCGTTGACAAGTTAGTGTTGGAGTGGCATTAGGCTGAGTTCCATTGAAGTTTCAGTTCAAATAATAACATTAACACCCATATCAACTTTGGCTTTAAGTCTTCAACAGTTGGGTATATTACCTTCTATTGGTCATGTGAGATCCTTGTAGGGATTTGTGTTCATGAATGAATGGATTCATGGACTTTCTCCAAACAATTAACAAATCCATTTTAAATCTCTATCATTGTTGGAAGGAATTTAATTCCAAGACTTCAGCTTAAATCAACTACTTATGGATTGGATTCATGGACCAAAGGGTAGATGTGGGAAAGTGACTTAAGCCCCGGCCCAAACCTATCACTAGTAAGTATTGTCTTATTGGAGTTTTCCTTTTTGGGTTTCCTTATAAGGTTTTTAAAATGCGTCTACTCGCTAGGAATCACAGATCTCCACAATGGTATAATATTGTCCACTTTAAGCGTAAGCTCTCATGACTTTGCTTTAGACTTTCTCAAAAGACCTCATAACAATTGAGATTCCTTACCTATAAATCCATGATCAACTCCTAAATTAGCTAATGTGGGACTCTCTCCCAACAATCATCAACATCTACTAGGGAGAGGTTTCTACATCCTTATAAAAAATGCTTCATTCTCCTTCTCAATCGATGGGGACCTCACAATCCACCTCTCTTCGGGGCCCAGCGTCCTGGCTGGCACTCGTTCCCTTCTCCAATTGATTAGGCCCCCCAATCCACCCCTTTTGGAACCTAGCGTCCTTGTTGGTATACCGCCTCGTGTCCACCCCCTTCAGGGCCCAACGTCCTCACTAGCACTCGTTCCCTTCTCCAATCGATGTGGGACCCCCAATCCACCCCTCTTCGCGGACCAGCATCCTTGCTAGTACACCGCCTCGTGTCTGCTCCTTCAGGGTTCAGCTTCCTCACTGACACATCGCTTGATGAGCTTGGGTTGTTACATGGCTTTTGCTCCATGAGCCCATTGGGCCTTCAAATCCAATTATAGGAACTAAGAGTATAGCCTATCACAGGCTCAAGATAAATTTAGGGATAAAAATAACATTTGATTTAGAACTAGTTGTAGTTACAAACTACTTGTAAAGGATGAATATACTATTTTATAATTTGTATAGTTTCTCCCAACAAGTAAATGGTATTTCCAACTGTAGTTAAATTTATATACCATAATAAAATGCTAGTCAAATGAAACCAAAAACAAATTAAGGCAGTTAAGAGAGACAAGAAAATACCTTGGCGTCTTTTTATCAATCTGTTCAAGTTGAAAACATTAATCTGAAGCAGCATCCATGCCCTTAAACTTCACCAGTAATCTCCACAAGAGCATTGCCCGTCCTTGAAGCAGTGAAATCTGTGGGTATCTCTAACAGTAATCTCCCTCTTCACAACTGCAGATATAAACTTGATTGCATTGTGGCAATCCACACATATCCTAAGATTCTTGACTACCAGTATTGGCTCACCTTCTCTAGTACACATGAGACCAAATGCAACAGCTAACTTCTCACTATGATGCCCCAACCTTAACTCTTCCTCTCTTTTCCTTATTCCATTCGTCCCTATTGAGATCGATCTCACGTCTGGAACATATCCAGCTTTCTTTATCTTTCTCATCATCTCCTCCAAGTATTCATGAATCTTCTTTATCATCGGGTGAGAAGTATCTTCAGCCACAAAAATGTGTGTTCTCCTATCCACTTCAATCCAGCTACAACCGGGTTTCTTCTTCACGCCTCGGTCTCGCATTAGTTTCCTCACGCTAGCGACATCCTCCCATCTCCCATTGTCAGCATAGATATTTGCCAGCATCACATAAGGTGCAGCATTTGAAGGTTCCAGCTGAAGCAAATGGTTTGCTGCTTTGGCTGCTAGTTCCATGTTCCCATGTGTTCGACATGCTCCGAGTAATGCAGACCAAAAAATTGAACCGGGGTTAAAAGGGATCGTCTCTATCAGCCTCTCTGCCTCGCTCAACTTGCCTGCTCGACCCAAAAGATCTATCAGGCATGAGAAGTGCTCCGCTTCTGGTTCAATGCCAAACTTCTGCTTCATCATATTGAAGTAAATCTTACCATCCTGAACTCTTCCTGTGTGCGCACAGGCAGCAAGTACAGAAATAAACGTAATGTTTGTTGGGGTAAAGCCCATGTCCAGCATCCTCTGAAAAAGATTAAGTGACTGAAACCCCATTCCATGTTGTGCATAACCTGCAATTATTGAATTAAAAGATACTGTATTATGCTCCGGCATTGTATCGAATAACCTCCTTGCATCCCTGAGATTTCCACATTTTGAGTACATTGCAATCAGAGCATTGTTCACTGATATTCTATTAGAAGGGATGTCCAATTTGAAAGTTAATGCATGAACTTGTCTTCCTTGAGAGGGCGATGACATATTCGCACAGGCACTGATTACGCAAACAAGGCTGCAATCGTCAGGGAGGTGGCCAACACCTTGCAACCTCCGGAAACATTCAAGAGCTTCATCAGAAAACTCCTCAAACAGAGAGTATCCTGAAATCATTGTATTCCAAAGAACCAAATCTGGCTTGCAGATTTCATCAAAAACTTTTCTACAACTCAGCATAGAACCACCACATTTTGAATACAAATCAATCAAACCACTACCCACATGACAATTCTGATGGTAACCAGACTTTATCAATTTTGCATGAAACTGAAGCCCGCCTGATAAGTCCTGCACGTTAGTAAATGCCGTCAAGACGCTTGCTAAAGTAAACATGTCAACAACCAAGCCCCTCAGAGTCATTTCCATGTACAATCCAAGAGCCTTAGACCCCTCTCGATGCTGCATATATGCCACAACCATCGAATTCCATGAGACTTCATCTTTATCCTCACCCATGCCATAAAAAATCCGTTGGGCCTCATTCAAAAACCCATTTTTGCTGTAATATGTAATGAGTGCATTACCAACAGACGCATAACAATCAAACCCAGCCGCAACACTCAGTGCGTGCAACTGCCTAATCAAAGCAACATCATCGCCACAAGCAGTAATTATACCAGAAAGGGTAAACCCATCCATGTCAAGTAAGGCCTCTCTCATCTCCACAAACAACTGAAAAGCAGACTCAACATCCCCACGTTGCGCATATGCAGCAATTAAAGTGTTATACGAAACAGGGTCTGGTTGGGACATTTTATCAAACAGTTCGCGTGCAACTTCGACAAACGATTCTTTCGCATATGCAGCAATCAGGGCGTTGAAGGAAAAGATATTGCATTCCTGGGTCTGATCGAAGACCCGACGAGCAGCGGAGAGGCGGCGACATTTGGAGTAAAGAAGAATGAAGTGGTTGGAGAAATATGTGGACGCGGGGACGAAGGACTTGATATAGAGAGCATGGAGGGACATTCCAGTACGGAGGTCTCTCTGGGCAATACATGTTTTCAGAACGTGTCGAAAGCTTTGGAGAACGGCGGAGAATTGATGCATTTGCAGTGTTCATGGTGAAAGCTCAAGTAAAACGAAGCAACGGCATGCCGTTTTCTCTTGCATTAGCATTTCGGAATTCCCTGAAAATACGAAGTGTATGTTTTCCGGTGGCTGCACTTTATTCACCTGCAGTGGTTCGCCGTCGTCTGTTTCAGGTGTCGCCGATTCAGTTCCGGAGGTTTGACCGCATTGTCGTCAAGCACAAACTAGTTGCGAGTTTGAAAGGAAAGTTTTGCAAGCGAATTCCGTTGGGAGTCCTCAGCGTAAGGAATAGGAGAGGGTAAAAGAGCGAGGGCGAAAGATTTACCGTAAATAAAACTAAATTTATATATTTTTACTTCCGACAAAAAAATATACTTTTATCCTTATCTGTGATGAGTTGTATTGATGTTCTTTTAGCTTTGAAAAATAAATATTCGTTTGATTTTTTTTCTTTAAAAAATTTACTTCCTTTTTCGTTCCTCCATCCCATCCCAATTAATTATTAATGTTTTTTTATTTTTTTTTATTTGTTTTTTTTTTCTTTTTTTTAAAAAAGTAAAATAAGATGTTCTATTTTTTTTTCTTTTACCCCATCTTCCTCTTTCTTTCACCCCCTCCTTCCCCATTTTACTTATATATATATATAAAAATAAAAATAAAAAACTTGGAGATGGTAGTTTTTTTTTTTATAATAATAAGTTAAATAGACGTTATTTTCGATTAGAGTTTATATATTCATTATCAAAAGTTTAAATTTATCACGACAAATTTAAACTAAAAATAAATATTATTCAATATCAAATGGTAAGATAAAATCAAGAAGAACAATGTAGTAAAATTTTAAAAAAAAATAATGGAAAAGAGCTAGTGTCTTAATATTGGAAATCATCATTAGAGCGTTGCAAAACGGGCATTAATGAGATTAAAACTTAAAGAAAAGGCTATAACATTGAAATTATATATTGGCATCGAAACTAGTCACCCTTTTCCACAAGGATCCGTTGGAACATTTGATTGACAGCTGCAGTAATCTCACCCACAGTGTTCAGTTCACATTCATCTTCAATCTGCCATATTCAAATAATTCAATCAACTATTACCAAAATTATTTTAAATTAAAAAAAAAAAAGAAAAAAAAAAAAGTAATGATTGAGGCCAAAGTAAGATTCCCATCTCATATTTAAAAACTTAATACTCTCATCTCTTTACCTTCACGCTGAAACAATAAAAAACCATTTGGCGAATGGTAGTGACGTTGACGTGAAGAATCAAAAGTTGAAGAGAGTGCAATTCCAGCGCCACTTTTAGAAGCTGTTTCGGCCGATTCTCCGCCCTCATTTTTATATTGGCGTACCTCTCTATCACCCTCACCTCCACCTTCGATTCCCCTGAATAATCCTGGCCGGAATAACAAATATGTTCATGCCTTTGCTTCTTTCCCTCTAACCACTGCACAAGCTGTTCTAACTCCTTCACGAACTTGATGGTCCCTCCCACGATTGACGCCTGATCTCCCTGCAAATTAAAACCTTTTCTTATCATTATGATGCAATGGAAGAAGAAGGCATGATGGGATATGATGGGATTACCCTTTGGGTGTAAGAAGAAGGCATCATGGATCTCAGCACACACAGATACTCATTCATTTGCTTTCTCCTATTGCGTTCAACCGCTATGTGTACCATTCTTTGCTTCTCAATCTCCTCCCTCTTCTTCACCATCTTCCCCCTACGCCCCCATCGCTTCCCCACTGGAGCAACGGTGGCCCTCAATCCTCCGCCACCAACTTTGCCTGCTTCCATTGCTTCCACATTCTTCCATCCACAACCAATCAACTTATCTTCTTGGAACACCGCCGATTCTAAACCTAACACCATTTTTTTTTTTTTTTTTTTTTTTTAATTTTAGTGAAGGGACTAAGGTTCTTGTCATGAATGGGAATATTTATACTTAGACGATGGATTTAATAAATTCAAATAATTTCATGTCTCCTAAGTTATTAGATTTAAATTTAATATAGACGCTTTCATCAAATAATTTATCTTGTCCTACACTCGATTTACTATTTGTTTGTTTATGAATTAATACTTTGTGTTTTATTGACATGGGGGGATGCATTCAAATTATTTTATGCAATTTTTTTCATTTTTTTCGTCCTTCACTTCAACAAATCTATGGGGTTTTTTTTTATATAAATAAAATATCATATTGAATTGGAAAATGGAAACTTTGGGTTTAATAAATTAACCATTTTGTTTTAAGTGAAACAGAGTTTTATGTATGTTCATTGATGTGATATCTTTGAATGAGTCGATCACAATTGACTTGTAACGCTCGAGTACAATGAGGTATATGAATGAACTGATGCCACATTCGAGTGAGAGCAATCACAATGATAAGATGACTAAAAAAGACTTAAAAGAACTAAAAGTTACTATCTCAATAAGTGAACTTTCGTTTTTAATAGCTTATTCATAGGAACTTCATTGTTAAGCATGTTTTACTTTGAGTAATTTTATATTCAGTGACTCCCTAAGAATTTTCCTGGATATATGTGAGTGAGGACAAAACATGTTGGAATGACTCGTGTTGCTGGATAAGAATTTTCTTATCAATCTCATCTTGACTAAACTAGACTTACTTTTACATCACTCTCGAGTTTCGTTTAAGATATTTGATAATGTTAAATAGTGGTTTATTACAATAATTGAGGCGATTGAGAAATGGTAAGCGAAAATATATATAACATATGAAGGCAATAATTGACCAAGTGACATTACTTATTTACCAAAAATTGGAAAGAAAGCAAAGAGAGAGATAATTGAGCCAAATTCCATAGCAATAATAGAAGGGTTTGGCAAGTAAGACGTCAATCAGCTTGAGCTCCCAATTGCGTTATGAATGTGTACAAAAATTGTGTTTGATTCGTCACATGATTTGGATTTTTTTGGAGCAATTAGATGTACCCAAATATTGGTGGCTGCCCAAGTTGGGCATGGCCATATATTTATCACCTATTTTCACTATTCAATCTTTCATTATTTCAAGCCCACTTGTTTTTTTTTTTTTTTTTTTTTTTTTTTTTTTTTTTGTGTTTTCTTCTTATAGACCAATGTGCAAAGCTCCCTTTCCCTTTGTCTCTTTGTGTATATGAGGGTCAAATTCACTTGAAAAGTGTTGAGTATCTTTAAGTTAGAGAAGATTTTATTAAGAATTAAAATAAAGCATTAAATAAGAGAGTAAGAACACTACCTTTTGTTGTAAACCTCTTTGGTGTATTCTAATGATATAGAAATATCTCTGCAAGAAATTCCCGTTTACCTCAACCCAAGAATCTTATTTACTATATAATATGAGAAGTTGTAATGCTTCTTCAAATTGTTATTCAGTTGGATTTTCCATTGTTACATTTATGATTAGATCTCGAATCAGCATTTGGATGCTATGAGCAGCATTGAGGTCGATGGTATGAGAGTCATTATCGACGACTAGGACCAATACCAGGACCAAGTTTCGGAAAGTGAGCTCTAAATAAGTGGTAGTATGGTGAAGGGGGACCAAGTGCGAGCAGGTCCAGGACACACATGGTGGAAGATGGGGAAATGGGAAGCTTTGTTGGGGCAACAATGCATGTGAGGTTGTGCCAAGATTTTAGTCCAAATGGGTCAACAGAAACAAAGTTATGAATGAAGAAGATGAGTGAGTTAATGGGGTTCAAATGAGAGCATGGGCCTCAGGCCTCAGCTTGTGAAAACAAGCAGCAATAGGGGATGGGGCATACCGAGGTTGGTGGAGAAGGGAAGCCCCTCCCTCGTGCAGGCGTTTTATGTTCCCTCTTTCACGTGTCCTTCCCACCCAACCCACACCTGAAGTCCACCTTCCTCCCATACCGCCCCTCTTGAAAACTCCCTTCCCTTCCCTTCCTTTCCCTTCATGTTGTTGTCATTTCTCATTTCTCCCCCCCTATAATTTTCCTTCCACTTGCATGTCCTTCTCATTCTTATCTACTCGTTTTGTTTTTCACTTAATTTTGATGTGACACCGAGTGAATGATAGGGGCATGAATGAAGTGAGATCCCATCTGAATGAAATCAATCTTCAAGATAAAATGACTAAGAAAGACTTTGTCCATATAATTTTATTTTAGGTGACTTCTTAGAACACAATATGATGGAATGACTCGTGTTGTCTGTGGGAATAGTCTTTCACTTTTAGAAGGAAAGAGTAAATAGTTAGAATTTGACTATTTTAATTCTTTTTATGTCTAGAGATAACATGGCAGACAAAAAAGACTACCAAAGATGTGAAAAACCTAAATGCCACTTTTCATGAAAACGTGTTGTACGGAGCTTAATTGTGAGGACGAGGTGGATGTGAGATCCCACATCGATTGGAGAGAGAAACAAATGCTAGTAAGGACGTTGGACCCTAAAGGTGGTGGATTGTGAGATCACACATTGATTAGGGAAGAGAACAAAACATCATTTATAAATATGAGGAAACCTCCGTCTAACAGACACGTTTTAAAAATCTTGAGGAGAAGTCGGAGAGGAAAAGCCGACAATATCTATTAACGGTGAACTTTGTAAATTGCATTAATATTTAGAATTATAAGACCAATATCAAATGGAATTCAAATCCATAAATATTAAAAATGCTAATTCAATATTTGAATCAAATATGTACAATCTCATCTCAACTCAACTCATAATGATATCACTCATAAAAGTCTTATTTACTTTTCTCATCTTATCCAGTTTCTTCTAGCAACATAGAAACTATATTAATCCTCATACTTTCTTCTACCAATGGCTTCAAATCATACACGCATAATCTGGGATCGGGAAAAGTGTAGATGAAAAGGTTACAAAAAGGAGATTTGGTTGGACTTGGCTTACTTGTCAACAAAGTAGCCCAGCATTTCATTTTCATCCATCGAAGTTGGTGGAAATTAGTGGAGACTTCTCCTCGGCATTGCAAAGAAAAAGCAGACATCAAACACTGTAAGGGACAAGACACGAGGACACTTGGAAACCAAATTACGTTTGACATATCATAACCCGAAGACGCGTTGCTCATTTTTGTTTAACTTGGCCGTTAATGCCGCCGAAACCCCGCCCTCCCTCTTTCCACTCTCACCCAGATGGATAGATGGATGGATGTTCACACACACGTAATAATATTGAACGTTGACTTTTAATGTTTTGTTGGTTTGACTTTTACTATATCTAGATTTAGTGTTTCGTTTGACCAAGATAGAGTTTAGATCTAGGACGGGGCTTCCAAATTTTTTAAAGGGTATATAGTATAGTCATCGGTTCTAATTGCTTTTGAAGTCGGATCCCTTGTAAAAAATTAGAATAAATAATGCATTGGTTCAATATTTAATACGAAATCGAGAATGATTACAGACGCCACTGCTAATCCACAAAGGGACCGAGTGCATGTACGTATTTTACACGTTCGAAAAAATGATACTACAAATTAAAATTCCTTCCCCACAAGTAAGAAGGAAAAAAAAAATACGAAGAGGGGATTATCCCAAGTTATCGTTCGTGTGATTGGCAACGCGATCGTTAAACGATAACCGAAAAACCCACTTAACCATGTTCTTCCTCTTCGTGGGGAGATGGTTTGTAGTAGTGGTAGTAGTAGGACTAGTAGTTACTGTGGAGTCAACCACAAATGCCTTTAGTCTCTGCATTGCAAGGTCCAACGTTGCCTCTGACATGTTGGCAAAACAAACACGGAACCAACCGGGTTCGGAGCAATGGCACGACTGTCCGGGCGACACGTTCAACCGCACCTCGAACACAATCTTCCTCCAAAGCTCCATTTCTGATTCAAAAGTATTGGCTCCAAGCAAATGCCTCATATCCACCCAACAAAACAGCCCTGCATTCCCTTTATGGCACTTAATCCCTGCTTTTTGCAGCCCTCTCACCAGCATTTTCTGTCTTTTCTCCAGCCTCTTTTGATTCTCCTTAATGTAATTCTTAGTAAACTTCTTGTCTGATAACATAGCTGATAAAAGGTACTGAGTTTGCGACGACACCAATCCGAAACTCGACATTTTCGTCGCTGCAGCCACAACTACATCGTCGTTTGAATAAATCGCTCCGACTCGAAACCCCGGTAGACCGAGATCTTTCGAGAGACTATAAACAATGTGAACTTGTTTACGGATTTGATGATTGTGTTTATAGTTTTGGTTGAGAATTTCCATGACGCTAACGAATCCCGGGTTGCGGAAAACCGTGCCGGAGTAGATCTCGTCGCTGATTAGATGAAGGTTTTTTGATGCAATGAATTGGAGTAGAAGGTTGAGTTCTTGAGTAGTGATGGTGGTTCCTAATGGATTTGATGGGTTAGTGACGAGCACGCCTTTGACCTTGAGGTCACGACTTTGGGCGCTTTGGTAGGCTTCTAACAGGGCAGACTCTGTAATTCTGAAGCCATTGGAGCTGGAACAATGGATGGGAACAATCTCTATCCCAGTTCTCCATTTCAAATCTCTGTCGAATCTGTAAAAATTATGACAACGTAAGACATTGCAAAGAGTAGAGAATTACACTACAATTTGGTTCTGGAAACGTACCCAGGATAGTAGGGAGTGGGCAGGAGAAAGGCGTCGCCAGGTTCAGCTAAACAGAACATAAGTGTCTCATTAGCAGAGGTGGCACCAGCAGTGAGGACTATGTGGTCGGGATTGAACGTTACTCTGTTCCCTCTAATCTCCGACATGAACTCAGCCAATGCCTGAAACGCGCATTGAATTAGATCCAGCTTCGACAAGAACATAATAGTATTGAAAAATGAAAAGACAAAAAGGCAGTACCTTTTTGAATGCAGGCAAGCCATTGTAGTCTTGAAACAGCGCAAGTTCTCTAAAAATGGACTTCCCGTCTCTTTTAAAGCCAGCGGCATCTGGGTTCT